TTGTTCCTTATTTATCTCCTAATCATCTGTTCTTTCATCCCCAACCCAACTGATTCCTTAGTTTATATTTTCTTGGTTTATGTTTTTTTTTTCATGTTTGAATATTTTAATCTTTAATGATAGTATATGCTAAGTTTTATACTGTAGATATTTTACAAATACATTAAATATATATACTGGCATAAGTTTTTTATTAGAAAAAACATTTATGGTATATTCCAGTATAAATATTTTATATCTTACACATACCATGAATATACCAATTATTGTATACTAATTAACATAATTTAAAATTGTTGGAATTTAACATATATATCTAACACATATATCTTACACATAATTTGCAAGTACGATACATGTAATAATACTGGAAGAATTTTGTCACTTTTTGTGTGTTTTACAGTGGAAATTGCTTTGAGTATATATTTTATAGGTCTTGATTATACCCTGCGTATACATCTTATACATATTAAAATTGAAATAAATATAATTTAAAACACATAGGACTATTATATAAGGTAAAATACCGACTCCTAGATGCTCGGTTATAAAAAATGCACTGTATATATTTAGGGTATATATGCTCAAATCATAAATATACATCAAATAAACAACCTGATACACTGTAAAAAGACATAAGATAGGCATCAAATTCATTTTAGTACACAACAATAATACATAAGATATTGGTCGGTTGTGCATCAATATCAAAAAAATTCCCAACTCCATGAGACTTTCAAATGCCTTGTTTTAAAAAGGAATAATAAAGAAACCTTCACATCACATAATACCTACAATTTTGAGAAAAAGAACGAAAAGGGAGGAATTTTGGGTTCGTGATGGTAGGGAGATTGGTGGATAAATAATCTCTACAGTTTTGAGATTTTGGTTGAATATGGGAGATTTTTAAGCTCTAACAGATGATTCCTTAAATCATGGGTCAGTTTTAAAAAATAAAGAATCTGATGATAATTTTAAAATATTCTATAACGTAATATATTTTCCTATTTTTATGTTGAAAACTTTTCATAACAAATTTTTTACTTTCCATACATTGGATATTTTTACCAGAAAAAAATATACATGGGCTATTTATACAACATAACTCTAGTGAAATTATACATCGTATATTCTTAAAGAAATAAAATACATATATTTTGTGAAAAATATAATGTATATTTGAATTTTATATACATTATAAATTATATATATATATATATCATCAATATACCGTTTATATTTTGCACTAATATAACATATATATTTGTATACATTATGTGTATATAATAAGTTTATCTGATATATTTTGTTTCTGTACATATATTAATGGCATATTAACATTTTAGATTTTTTTTTGTAAGGTGTTTGCTAGTAATATACTTTGAATAATACATGTTGAGAGAGAGAGAAAGAAATGAATTTATATATATATAATCAATATACCGTTTATATTTTGTACTAATATAACATATATATGTGTATACATTATGTGTATATAATAAGTTTATCTGATATATTTTATTTCTGTACATATATTAATGGCATATTAACATTTTAGATTTTTTTTGTAAGGTGTTTGCTAGTAATATACTTTGAATAATACATGTTGAGAGAGAGAAAGAAATGAATGTCGAAAGAGAAAAAAATTGAAAAGAAAAACTCAATTGAAAAGATTAGGGAAAAGATTTATTGTAGATTCAATTATAATATCGGAGGCTCCACGTGAAAGAAATTAGCTATATACTCCCTCCATTCACTTTTAATTGTCCGCCATGGACTTTGCACACCCCTTAAGAAATAATAAATAAAGTGTATAATTTATCATGATACCCATATTAAATGATGCATATTTTTAATGGATTAGAGAATGATTTGACAGAAAAAATGAGTAATTAATATTGTGGGTATAACATGAAAAACAATTTGTCTTCTCTTGATATGCTAAAAGTGACACTACTAGAAAACTGCCTAAAACCGTCCAGAAATACCGACCGAAATCAGTCGGAAAACTGGAAAAATCGATCGATTTCCGACCGACTTTAATCCGTCGAAATTAAGTCGGTCAGTAAAAAGTAGCGACTGAAGTAGGTCGCAATTCCCGACCGATTTTGGTTGGTAAATTAATTTTCACAAACGACCCAAAAAGAAAAATCTACCGAAAAAACCGACCGAAGTCGGTTGGTATTTTTAATTAAATAATTAAACAATGCACCGTATGGGACTCGAACCAGGGTTTGTACTATGGCAGGATACTATTCTACCATTAGACTATTGGTACATTTTGGTTTATGACTTTCTTTTAATTTATTTGTACTTTTTAATTACATTTTCAAGCGAAAATAACCGACCGATTTCAATCAGTTTTTTAAAATGACTGCCTGAAATAACCGACCGATTTCGGTGAGTTTTTTGAATATTAATTTTAATTTATTTTATATGAAAACCCGACTGACTTCGGTCGGTTTCTTAAAAAATAAATTTTGCGGGATGCCAAAATAGTTTCCTGTATTTTTGCGCCAAAAAAAAAGGCGACCGAAATCGATCGGTTGGCCGCGGTCAGTTTTGACCGAATTTCTAGTAGTGTGACAAGTAAAAATGAAAATCTATTTTTAGAATATTGGACAAGTAAAAGTGTACGAAGAGAGTAACTTAATTGTGAGTTTTAAAAAAATCGAAAAGTCAAAATCGTTACTCATCAATCATCAACAAGGTTAAAAATAGATCCCACAATTTGTGTCTTCCGTTCACTCATCAATGTTGTGCATAAATTTTATAATATGCTAGTATTGTAAAAAAAAAGTTGTTATTTATGGAATAAACTAAATTTAATGTTGTTTTTTTAAATACTTTTTGGGAAGGATTAGGCGTGTAAAAAACTCTATTTTTAAAAGAATTTATATGGATAACAACTACATATAAGGCTATAAATTATAACTTTTTTTAATATGAAGGATACATTTGAAATGCCCGAAGATTTTACAGTAAGAAAACTTCTTTGAGTTCCCAATTAGTAATATTGGGTCTCTTTTTCATGAAATGAGTAATACGTCTTTACTGGCGGAGCGAGTTTGAGTCCCGAGTGCGTACAAATTTCCAGAAGAGTGCATTTTTGTTTATTTAGTGAGGTTTTCCTGGCCTGAATCTGGATTAGTCCGAATAAAGAATGCATAAAGAAAAAGAAAATACGAGGCTTTAGAATATCAAGAAATTTCGTTAAGGGACGTTAAATGAGTTGGCCTTTAAGATTTCAAAGGGATGGAATCTATGCTCTCGAGCTTAAGAGAAAATAGCAAGGAAGTATATTGAGGGTAAGGAATCTTTGTTGGCAAAAAAATAAATGTGAACTTTTAAATTTTGACAGAATGTATATAAGTAGGGGTGTTCAAAACCGAACCGAAACCGAAGCTTAATGGCTTATTGGTATCGGTTTAACGGTTTAACGGACGGGGAACGGAATGAATTTTTTTTATAAACGATTTATCGGTTTGGGGGCGGATTATTCAATTTTCTTAACGGATAATCCGTTAACCCGTTAAGAATATATATATATATATATATTAAATAATCAAAAACCATTCTTCCACTTCCAGTACTCTATCTCTATTCTCTATTACTAATTTACTATTAGACATTTAGTTATAATTTACTATTCCATTTAGTTACTATTAGATAATTTTGATGTCATGTATTATACCCAGTGTTCTCTTCTATTTCTTCTGATAGTTATAAGTTGTTAATAGGCTCATCCCCAGAGATGATTCTACTGGGAAATACGTTGGAATACACATCTCTCTATTTCTTCTATTTAGCTCTCTTCTTAGGTGCCATATTCTATAGACTGGAATGTAGTCTGCTGAGCATAGGAATTTTATTTTGAGTCATAGCGGTCAACAAACAATCCGATAAACCGCCCGATAAGAGCTAAACCGATACCAATTCGCCCGATATCTTATCGGGTGGCTAGCGGATTAATACATTTAAAAGTCGATAACCGATAAGCCAAACCGTTAAGAGTATATAACCGCCCAATCCGCCCGATAAGCAGCCCTATATATAAGGCTATCCTTTTTGTAGTTTTAATCCAGTGACTAGAAGATTACTTTTGTTAAGCATGTATGGCTCAGGTTCTCGTGTCCTAAATTGAGATACGGGACTAACATAGTGCAAGGAAATTCTCTGCTGACTTTCTTTTATCACCTCCTATTTTTTGAATCATTTAACTTATATTGACAGTGTAAAAAAAAATTATTACACAATATAAAAGACGGCGGTAAGCTTATGTTTATTTGGAGGGATCATAATACATTATTAAAGTACGTCGTTCGCGATATGTTAACAATAAGAGGTACTGAAATATAGCAAGGAAACCGGCCTTTCTGCTATCACAATAGTCTATTTTATCATTTTTCCTTTCCTGTGGAGTAGTTACTACCTGAGCCATAGAAGATATTTTTTTCTCGATAGTTGCATAAACATATATTACATTTTGGTCTTATTGATTAAAAATTCTATCAGTAGCTACTGCTGTTTTACTAGTTTGTCTGTGCCCCCTTAATGAATTCTCATTGACCACGTCTTATGGAAGATCAATCAATAGCACTAACCCCAGTTTGAAGAAGCTCATATACATACGGCGAAAAATAATACCAAGAGCGAAAGGTTTAACTAATTATAATTCAAAAGCTGAAAATTCACCTCCAGTGACTATCCAATATAATTTAACATATTGTAACAAGTAATCTACCTTACGTTTCAGATTAATAATCTCATTTTTATAGTGAACGTAGAGTTGTAGTTTGGCATTCTACTGTAAAAGTAGATGCATCAGGCCTGGCTTTTATATGCAAAGCAAGTTTATGCAGATGGAATGATGAAAAATGAGCAGTTGCATTATTAATACTATCCTTCGTAGCTTAATTAACGTCGAAATTGTAAGCTAAATAGAACTTCAACAAAAATCAGATATTTCTGTTATTCATGAGGCAAAAGGAAGCAAAACATTTATCATTGTCCACTCTGGTTCTCTTTCTTTTTCAGGTACCAAAAAATTCCCGACATTGCTAGTATACAGACAACACTTCAATAGTGACTTTACACAAGAAATAGGCCAACGCCCAACTGAATCATGTTTGCAGTTTATAACAGTCTATACAACACTTCAAAAATCTCGTCTTCCATAGGCTTTCTCATAACAAGTTCTCACGCAGACGCTCATAATTCTACAACTCGCAAGTGTTCGTGGTGAGAGCTACGATGGACCTGATGATTTTCTTCCTCAAAAGGACTAATTCTTTTTGTAAGTTTGTAATCACTAGCTAGCTTCTCTTCAATGGAACTAGTTTAAATTCACATCTCTGTTTCCCTAATAAAGAGAAAATTTGTATCTTCACATAGATAATTAGATTCCAGGGGCAGTAACTTTTTTTTCCAAAAAATGTAGGTGTCGACACCCTTTCTACCATAGACAACCAGGTCCAAACACTTCTATTGGGGGGTTCTTTTGCTGCTGCTATGGAAGTAACAACTTCAATGCTAATCACAGATAAGGAGGGAAGAGAGCAACCCTTCAATCAATAAAGAAAACTGAGTGGAGCGGTTTTCACTTCATAGACATCAGCTAGAAAAAGAATCCAACTTTTTTCTAGAAAAGGAGTAAAAATGGGAAGGAAGGAGAGGAGAGAGAAGTTGAGTACAAGGTGAAGACAAGGAAACATTTGCGGTTTAGGAGGTTAAGATACTTCAAGATTACAAGGTCGAGCGATGGATCTCTTTTCAGATGATTTTAATATCATGTTTCATTGCATAAGGAACTTGGGCAAAGTGACAAAGGCTATCAGACCAAAAAGGCATGATATGGAAATATAATTGGCAACTCCATTAGATGAGTCTGCCGATAAGAATATTTTGTGAGTGGTGCTGTCCCCTCGAAAACCTCTAACAATCATTGCCTACAAGAAACAGAAAGATTTAGAGTAGTGCATAATAGTAAAACTCAATGCAACCAGCAGACAATCAGATTTATCCCGTTCTCAGGAATGAAGCCCAAAAATAAAACCACAAGTTGCTACAATTAAATTACTAATATGATCCAGTAAACTAATGTTCTACATCCATCAGCATTGCCTCTACTCAGTTAAGTATGAACTCCATGTATTACCGGTTTTTATCCTACAATTAGATCTACACATATCCCTGCCCCCGTGTTAATTCCTATGCTTTAGACATCTAAGACAACTTGGCACCCCCTAAACATTTTGAACCCACTCGACTGCCTCGACAAAGAGCACGTTTTGCTTTAGACATCTGAGTAATCTTCTTTTTCAGGGCTTGTTAAGTATAATAATTGGGATCACATCCTTTCCATCCTCTTAATAATAGCGCAATAGATTCAATCATGTTCTACGTCTTTAAATACTTTAAGTGCTTATAATTCTATCCAACAAATAGTTGCTGGTTCTGACAGTCAGATCATCATAAAATATCCTTATTTCTAGTCATGATGTTGTGCCACATTTCATCTGAAGTTTGTTCCATTCCACCTACTGTTATTTGTGTAATTATTTTCATGATTATACTTTCATCTTTCGATAGTCAAGAATGAAACATATTAACTAAAATACTCTTGTAGAGTACAAAGAGAAAGAGACGAAAAATATCACCCACTTAAAGAAAATTAGCAATACCCAAAAAATGGAGGAGCAACTATTCTTGCAAATGGTAGATAAATGCTAAAATATGACATCATATTGAAAAGTTCATACCTGAGATATTTGCTCCGCGTGAACAAAAATATTTCTGAATATCCGACGAATATATGTGAAGAAAACTGCAAGAGATCGAATTCTGTGTTTTAGAGAGCAGAAAGATAGCTTTTAGGATAAAATCACAGATAAGAAAAGATGAGGGTTTCACAAATTTGAGAATTAACAGCACTTGGTTAGTGTGAAAATGATTTGCATTTAATTGGCATAGAAGCCAGGCAAACATTTGTGTATAGTTGAGAAAAAGCAACAATACTGGAATAGCATCATACGCACTCCATCATTTTTTTTAATCGGTAAAAGGTAACTTTACATATAATAACTTATGTACTCCCATAATTTGAACTATTCTGAGATCCTATTATTCTTTGTGTATAGTATATGGTATTAACATAGTAACTAACTAACTTCAACGAGAATGAACTAGAGAACTATGTTTGCTCGGACTCTAAAAAACGTTGCCACATCCATGTCGGATCCTCTAAAAATGCACTACTTTTGGAGGATTCGACATGCACCTAACAACAGTTTTGAAGAGTCCGAGCAACTAAAGAAAAGAACTGCAAAGAGAAGTGTTATTGGTGAATCACACAGTGCATAATTGCGATGGAGTCGGTTATCTTCAATTATACACTAACCATCTATCGTCTCCAAAATTGTCAACTGCTGCCAATTAATCCTACGAGATACAATACCAAGAGCAACGTTTCTGACCTGCCAAAATTATTACCAAAAAGAATCAGAATTTTCTTACTGTTTCCTGACAATAATCAGTGCATTTCTACCTAGCAATAACTCCATCCCAATTGAATGTAAAAATAAATGTATACATCTTACTCGCCTCATCAAACACAAGATTGATAAATCTCAAGGAGAGCAGAAGAGTAAGGATAACTTCAGCAACAGGGACACCAAAGCTTGCCAAAGGGGATATAAACCACCGCAATGCAAAAGCTATCTGCTCAGGTGTTGTTGTTGATAGGAAAACACTTGCACTTTGGAAGATCTTTAATCAAAAGAGAGTTAATTTGTTAGCAACATTTTCTTTTAGAATTAGAAGGTTACTGGGAGTTAAATTCAGACAAAACTGGAGTCACTGCACATTGATTGTTTTCTTCGGAATTTAGGACGGAACAAAAAATGAAGTCTGTAGGGAAAAATTTAGATTTTGACAAGCGAATATCTTTAATTATCAATCCCTGTACTGCTAGTCAAATCCAGAAAATTTATTAATAAAAAATTTGGTCCATAAGATTTTACGAATTGGATCATTTTAAGATTTCCAAAGACTTCAGCCAAGATGTTCAAAAACTCAACAGATTTTGAATTTTGTACAAGTCGACTTAAGAAGAGCGGCCAGGCCGGACTGTCATTTTCTTGTTAAAGGTGAATGGAGAAATGTTAATATTAAGTGGAAGATCTTCAAGTTTGAACTTAAACGTTAACAAACTGAAACAGGTTTACATTAACCAGATGAGAAAGCAGACATTTGTTTTCATTTGAAAAGTGTACCTTGATGCTACTAGTAGGACTACAGAATTAGTTTGCTATGTTGACTCCACAACAAGTGGCAAGTTGCTACTCACAGTGAAGGTTAAGCATGCTGATGTTGTGGCGGTTGATAAGCCCTTTCTAGTGAGTTGTAATGGCCCCAACTTCAAGATTACATATTTATAACCGTCCAATGACGCAGGAAAAGGTGGTAATCCCATTATTGAAGGTGGGGGAGCTCTTGAAGAGATAAGGGAAGGTGTACTGTCTGTACTTAGGCCCAACATTATAAATAAGATCCCGGACAGCAGTGTGACTCTCCCGAGTTGATCCTGTAACCATATTAGACAATCAACAAGGAAATTCTCTAACATTATCAAATTTGTAGTAGAACAAACAAGGCAGATTCTCCATTAGAATTTCAAGAAAACTTTTTGAAGCATAAAGCTCATTAAGATTCAAGGCCAAGCTTACCTTCCACACTTGTTCAGGTTGGACCAAAATAGATAGTATAGCTAAGTACAGAACCAGTGACAAACGCATGATTATATTTGATTTTGCCGGTAAAATAACCAGAGTAAAGAGCCATGCCTGCATAACCAAGAAACAGATATCCAAAGCAAAATTAGTCTTCGACAACCACAAAACGTGGATGAAAGGAATAGAATATATGAATTTTTCTTTCGTCACCGAAAAATAACCTCTTGGTGCCGTTGAAAGCAATCAATGCCAAATATAAAAAGTCTTTTAGGACTTAACAATAAATGCTTGAAGAACTCACGAAAAACAGGTACCACAAACTGTAGCAGTTCTGAATAAAAATATTCTACTATGCTATGGGCAAAACATGAAGCTTTAGCAGGGATATACTCCATCTACTTCCAGCAGCAAAATATTACCACTGTTTTTCTCCAACAAATGGGTTAAGTCTTTGACGACCAACCTAGCCCCACCATATTTCTTATTTTAATTTCCTTTGAAAAATGTATAGGATCTTCTCTATTACGCCTGCTCAATTCTGGAGTTGTGTTAAATAACTAACAATATAAATCTGAAATTAGGATTCCCATGATCAGGGTTCATCAGTTCTACAATTATCCCACTAAAGAACGGGCCAAAATTGAATAATCTAATATAAATAAAAAATCAATGCAGACAATTCACAAATTAAGCTCTGTGAAGCTACTTGGCATAGTGAACTGCATGTAAATCATTATTCACAAACTGCTTCCTATGAGCCAAAGTATACACTTTTTTTGGTGATTCCTTAGCATAGCTAAACACGAAAACTCAATAACTGGACCATAAAATACAATTCAGAAACAACCCACGAACACAGCAAAAACAAGAAAAGCCAATGACGAACCATATTATTCAGTTCAAGAACAACCCAAAAAAAAGAAGGAAAACTACACAAATGAAACAGAAAACTCCCAGTAACTAAATTCAACAAGTTCAACCCTTTTCACACACAAATCCCAAAAGACTTACTCCTAATGTCTCAATTTATGCGACACGCTTCCCTTCTTAGTCATCCAAAAAGAATGCCACCTTTCTATAGAAACAATTTAACTTGAAAATTATAGTTTTACCCTCAATGAGATGATTTATAACAACACAAATATCTGCTTACTTTAGAGTACAAATTTCAAAAGTCATCATTTCTTTCTTAAGCTTTGCCCAGTCAAACGGTGGCACATAAATTGGGATAGAGGGAGTAAAATTTATATCAATTTGATTCTGGGATCAACATAGTGCAAGAAAGTGAAAACTACATATATGAAACACAAAACTCCCAATACTTAAATTTAATAAAGTTGAACACTTTTCACACTAAAAACCTAAAAAGACATAAAAATTATACCAATTTGATTCTGGGGTCAACAGAGTGCAAGAAAGTGAAAGGGGAAGGTATGTACTGAGCAATGGGGCTTGAAGTTGCACCAGATATGGCTCTAAATAGTTTATCAGCTCCAAGAAAGTTTTTTGGGGACCATTTTTCTAAGAATTCAGCCCAGTTCACTGAACCCTTAACACTATCACTATTTGCTGCACAGCTGATAAAGGTTCTTGATTTTTTGGGTTGAAGATGGAGATAAAGGGGCTTTGTTGTTAGGTTTGGAGTGAAGTGGTGGTTGAATATTGGGAAGGATATGGGTCTGAAGGCATGGATTGAAGAAAGTGGGGGTGTTAGTGTTGGGTTGTTGTGGAGGAGCTTAGTATACATGGATGAGGAGGAGGAGATCACAGTTTACACTTTACAGGGGTGTGAAATGAAAGGATTTTTTTTATTTTTTTTATTTGAGTTCCAATTGGGATGTTTTAGGGGGTTTATTTTGGTGGTGTAAATTTCAATTTTGGTCCTCAAGCTTAGACATGGATTGTATTTCGATCCCTGGAGTTAATTTATTTTTTTCCTCATAAAAGTGCAAATATAGGTATTTAATTTGTCTTACATTTGTCCTTTGTATTCTTTATATTTCATGAAAGTTAGCCTCATTAATTTCATCACATTTTAACGATTTATAAAATAAAGACTTTTTATAAGTCTGTAAAGTAAAGACAAGTATAGAGAGAAACTAATATATTATTCAAACTTCAAATTTATGTACATAATGAACTGAAATATCCTATATTTATAGAAGAAAGCAAGTTGTTGTGTAAGTTGCTTCTGCAAGCTGCTGTGTAAGCTGCTACTGTACCAGATATAGATAATTTTCTATCGAGAGTAATGTTTATCCATAACAGAGTACCGAAAGGATAAGCTCATTGTACCAGATATAGATAATCTTCTACCGGGGGTGATATTTATCCATAACGGGGTACCGAAAGGATAAGCTTCTTCAGGAGGCTTATTTCCAATAGAGTACTAAATAGATAAACATATTTACGGTGGAGTCTCATATAAATAAGTTTCTTCTGAAAGCTTATTTACAACGGAGTACTAAATGAACATCCATAATATAATATATTTATAACGCTCTCTCTTAGATGTTCATTAAAAGATAATGTGCCTCATTAAAACCTTACTAGGAAAAACTCCGTGGGAAAAAAATCCTAGTGAAGGAAAAAGAGTACACATATTTAGTAATACGCATAACTAATTGTCTCATTAAAAACTTTATAAGGAAAACCCTGTGGGAAAAACCTTAGTAAGGGAAAAAAGAATATAACGCATATTTTACTCCCCCTGATAAAAATCATGTTTTAAATATTTGAGTCTCCGCATTCCAATCTTGTATACTATCTTCTCAAAAGTTGAAGTTGGCAAAGATTTAGTGAATAAATCTGTCGGATTGTCACTTGAACGAATTTGTTGCACATCAATGTCACCATTTTTCTGAAGATCATATGTGTAGAATAATTTTGGTAAAATGTGTTTCGTTTTATCTCCTTTTATAAATCCTCCCTTTAATTGGGCTATGCATGCAATATTGTCTTCGTATAAAATTGTGGATCTTTTATCACATTCCAAACCACACTTTCCTTGAATAAAATGAATCACTAATCTCAATCATACGCATTCCCTACCTGCTTCATGCATAGCTATTATCTCAGCATGATTTGAAGAAGTAGCAACAATAGATTGTTTTGTGGAGCGCCATGATATGACAGTACCTCCACATGTAAACACGTACCCGGTTTGAGATCGAGCTTTATGTGGATCAGATAAATAACCTGCATCTGCATAACCAACAAGATCTGCACTATCTTTGTTAGAATAAAATAAACCCATATCAAATGTTCCCTTTAAATATCACAATATATGCTTAATCCCGTTCTAATGTCTCAGTGTAGGAGAAGAGCTATATCTTGCTAGTAAATTAACAGAAAATGCTATGTCAGGCCTTGTAGTATTAGCAAGATACATAAGTGCACCAATTGTACTAAGATAAGGTATTTCGGGACCAGGTAGTTCCTCATCCTCTTCTAGAGGTCGGAACAAATCCTTATTCATTTCAAGTGATCGAACAACCATTGGTGTACTCAATGGGTGCGCTTTGTCCATGTAAAAATATTTTAAGACCCTTTCTGTATAGGCAGATTGATGGATAAAGATTTTGTCAGCTAAATATTCAATTTGCAGACCAAGACAAAGTTTTGTCTTTCCAAGATCTTTCATTTCAAACTCTTTCTTAAGATATTCAATTGCCTTTTGGAGCTCTTCTGAAGTTCCAACAAGATTTATGTCATCAACATAAACAACAAATATAACAAATTCTGATGCCATTTTTTTTTAATATAAAAATAGATGGATAAATAACATCATTTATGTAACCCTCTTTCAGCAAATATTCACTAAGGTGATTATACCACATACACCCAGATTGCTTTAAACCATATAAAGATCTTTGTAATCTGATTGAATACATTTCCCGAGATTTTGGATTTGCTTTAGGTATTTTAAGTCCTTAGGGGATTTTCATATAAATTTTATTATCAAGTGAACTGTACAGATAAGCTGTAACTACATCCATTAGATGTATTTCAGGCTTTTCATGTAGTGCTAAACTGATGAGATATCAAAATCTTATGGCATCCATAACAGGTGAATATGTTTCATCAAAATTGACTCCAGGTCATTGTGAGAATCCTTGTGTGACAAGGCGAGCTTTGTATCTTTCAATTTCATTTTTATCATTCTTTTTTCGCACAAAAACCCATATATGACCAATTGATTTTATACCAGCAGGTGTTTGGACTACTGGTCCAAATACCTCTCTTTTACCAAGTACGTTCAATTCTGATTGAATTGCCTCTTGTTGTTTTGGCCAATCAGATCTTTATCGACATTCTTCGACAGATCGGAGTGTTAGATCCTCACTATCTTGCATAATGTTAAGTGCAACATTATATGCAAAAATATTATCCACCACTATTTCAGATCAATTTAAATTAATCCCTTCACGAGTAGAACTTATAAAAAGCCTCTCACTCACTTGAGTCTCGGGTTCATTGATTTCTTGAGGAATCTCAGAACTAATCAGATCTTGGGTCTCTTAAGGGGATCCATTCGTAGTATCGTTATCATTTGTCGATTTTCTTTTTCTAGGATTTCGATCCTTAGAACCCAAAGGCCTACCACGCTTCAGGCGTGCTTTAGGTTTACTAGCTCTCAGGCTAGTAGATGGTCCTGCTGAAACATCAATTCGGATAGGCACATTCTCTGCAGGGATATGTGACTTAGTTATCCTTTTCAAATCAGTAAACGCGTCTGGCATTTGATTTGCTATATTTTGTAAATGGATGATCTTCTGGACCTTCTAATTACATATAGGGGTACGTGGATCAAAATGGGATAATGATGAAACTTTTCACACAATTTCTCTTTGGATTTCTTTTTTCTCTCCCTGAGTAAGTAAATCTCCCTTCAATAGTTCAAGATAGCGAATAATAGAGGGTGATTCAAACCCAACATATATTCCTAACCTTCTATGCGGGCCTATCTTACTGCACTGTGGTGATGCTACTGGCATATATACACCACATCCAAAAATTCGAAGATGGGTAATATTTGGTTCATGACCAAAAACTAATTGTGACAAAGAATATTTATTATAATGTATCAGTCTGAGGCGGATAAGTGATGATGCATGCAAGATAGCATGGCCCCAAACACTAGTGGGCAATTTTGTTTTCATAAGTAGTGGTCTTGCTATCAATTGCAGGCGTTTAATAAATGACTCTGCAAGGCCATTTTGAGTATGAACATAAGCTACAGGATGTTTAACTTTTATCCCAACTGATAGACAATAATCATCAAAAGCTTGAGATGAGAATTCTCCAGTATTATCAAGGTGAATAGCATTTATAGTATAATCTGGGAATTGTGCCCTTAATCGAATTATTTGGGCTAATAGCTTTGCAAACGCCAGGTTGCGAGATGATAGTATGCACACATGAGACAATCTTGAAGATGCATCTATTAGGATCATAAAATATCTAAACAACCCACTTGGTGGGTGAATAGGTCCACATATATCCCCATGTATACGTTCTAAAGAGGCGGGGGATTCAATGCCAACCTTCATTGGTGATGGTCTAGTGATTATTTTGCCTTGATAACAAACATCACAAAAAATTTCATTATTTGTAAGAATCTCCAGGTTCTTTAATGGATGGCCACTCGAATTTTCAGTAATTCGGTTCTTTAATGGATGACCACTCGAATTTTCAGTAATTCGTCTCATCATTATTGATCCAGGATAACCCAAACGACCATGTCAAAGCACAAAAATATTTGAATCAGTAAACTTTTGGTTTACGATAGAGTGTGCTTCAACTGTACTAATCTTTGAATAGTATAAGCCAGAAGATATAGTTGGTAACTTTTCTACAATGCACTTCTCGCCAGAAATATTCTTTGTAATACAAAGATATTCCATATTTATTTCATCTATCGTCTCACCATGATACCCATTTCAGTGGATACCTATAAACCTCAACAAATTTCTTCGGGACTTGGAGGAGAATAATGCATTGTCTATTATAAGTTTTGTTCCCTTAGACAGAAATATAGTGGCTCTTCCGGAGCCTTCAATCAAACTTATATTACCAGAAATTGTTGAAACATTTTCTTTTTCCTTATGCAAATAAGAAAATTATTTCTGATCTTTTAATATGGCATGAGTTGTTCCACTATCAATTACACAAATATCTTCATGATTGGTCTTTGATCCAAACATAATTTGAGGATTATCCATATTCTTCAAAATGACATAAACAAAATAAATATGATAGTAAACATTATTATCAAAGCATAATTTTTATTTATGAAGTTTAATTACATAACCATACTATCTACTACAATCAACAAAAATTAAAGTATTTATATTTCTATAGGTTAATCACTGATCACATGACATGTTTCTCCTTCGGGGAGTGCAAAGTAATCAGCTACATCCAAATGCATGAAGTCAAAATTATCTTCACAAATAAAATTTGCTTCAGCATTTTTCTCTATCTTCTTTAGGGAGGCTTGATAAAGCTCAACCAGGTGTTTTGGCATACAACAAGTACGTGACCAGTGCCCTTTTCCTCCACATCTATAACAAGCATTTTTTGCATTTGTTGCTTGCACCGCTTCATGCTTTTGTTTCATCCTTTTTCACTGCTGATGGTGAAGAGGGTTCTTTGGTGCATTATTATTACCACGATTAGAATTTCTTCCCCGACCACGACCATGACCACGACTAGGGCCACGACCTCTTCCACGCTTAGCTTGGTGGAAGTTCGTCTCATTCACTTCATAATAGCATCAAGGACACGGATAGAGTTTTGGAAGCTCCAAGGCCATTTACAAG